GTTCTCCGGTTCCTCCAAATGGATGTTAAACTCATTTCTGCGTCTTTCTTTTTCTTTTTCCAGATACCGAGATTGTGATGATAACGATAAATGTAGTAATGAAGTTTTCGTCAATATAGAGAAAAATCATATCAGGTTATTGGTAATAATTGACGGACATTTCACAACTTCACTTCGAACGAAAAATGCAATAAAGGTTGGTATCATAATTTTATTTGTTTTTTTTGTACGGCTTCCGGTCTTCCCTACCCGGAAAGTGGACGCCTTCTTCTCACTAGATTCTTCCATATACAATGTAATGAACCGTTACTGATTTCTTCGAATGTACAATTCGCGACCATGTCCCACGTTCATATTTTGTCCCCCGCCTTTTGAAATGAAATGAAATGTGGTTTAACGTCCTACTGTTCTGCTCCTAAACTGGGCTAATGAAGACGGGTATACGCCATACAGTGTGCTATGAGGGAAATTTTGCCTGGGCAGTGGCGCTACGGCCTACTCTTATATCGAATTCCATCTGCCAAGGGATCTTTTACGTGCACGTCAATGTGTACACGGGACCTCGCCCGCCTTTCGAAGAAAGCAGGGGACTGTTAAAATGGGTAAGTCGGCCTGTCTGTCCGTCCGTCCGTCCGACTGTCTGTCCGTCACACTTTTTTGGACACAATAACTTTCCTTCTAATTGAGCTAGAATGTTCAAACTTGGTGTAGTTGTTTATTAGGTCTTAGGTCAATGCCTTGATGGAGTTCGAAGATGAGCATTTTCCGCTTAGGGTAAGCAGAGATATTCAATTTGATTGGTTAATGCTTTGGAACACGATAACTTTAGTTCTAATTAAGTGAGAGTGATGAAATTTGGTGTATAGTTTCATTACATCAATACCTTGACTAAGTTCGATAATGAACATTTTCTGCTCAGGATAAGCAGAGCGATAAGCAATTTGATTGGTCGAGACTTTAGAACACAATAACTCTCCTTGAATTGAAGTAGAATGTTCAAACTTAGTGTAGGCGTTGATTGGATGAATGTCTTGATGGAATTCAAAGATGACCTTTCGGACACGATAACTTTGGTTCTAATTAAGTGAGAGTGGTGAAACTTTGTATTTCATTTATTGCATCAATACCTTAACGAGGTTCGATGCTGAGCATGTTCTGCTTAGGCAAAGTAGAGACTATAATGTGATTAGTCGAGACTTTGGAACACAATAACTCTCCTTCTAAATGACGTAGAATGTTCAAAATTGGTGTGGGTGTCTATTAGGTGAATGCCTTGACATAGTTCGTTCATGCGCATTTTCCACTAGGCACTAAGGCTAAGTAGAGATGAGCAATTTGATTGGTTGAGACTTTTGGAACACGATAACTGTGGTTCTGATTGGGTGAGCGCGATGGAACTCCGAGTGTAGATTAATTATATCAAAACATTGACAAAGTTCGATGGTGGGGATTTTCTGCTTAGGCTCAGTAGCGATAAGCAATTTGATTTGTCAAGACTTTGGAACATAAAAATTCTGCTTTTAATTGATGTATAGATGTTCATTAGGCGAATGTCTTGGTCTTGACTGAGTTCAGTGTTTAATATTTCCCATTAAAGTTAAGCAGAGCTAAGCAATTTCTTTGGTCGATGCTTTGGGACAAGATAACCTTGATTCTAACGGATGGAGAGTGATGAAACTTAGTGTATAGTTTGATAGTGAACATTTTATGCTTAGACTAAGCATAGATAATCAGTTTTATTACTCGATACTTTTGAAAAAGATAAATGTGCAATTAATTATTAATATACTGAGCGCCATGGAAAACGCATCCCTTAGTTTTTCGTATAACAAAATGTAAACATATCTTATTTATTTTGCTTCTTATTGTGAACAATATTCAAATGGGAACACATCAATAACAACACATTTGTACACTTATGGATGTTTAATCTGTAATCAACGGTACAAAGTCAGAGGGGTCAAAACCAAAAGTACGACACAGATGTCAGTAGCGCGTGTGTCCTCCACGGGCTCTTACGCACGCTGTGCAGCGACGTCGCATGGAATTTACCAATGTTTGAAAGAAGGCCTGGGGCAAATTGTTCCATTCTTGGACAAGAGCAGCTTCTAAAGCAGCAATGGTGTGCATCTGTGGTCTCCGATACAGACGGCGTCCAATCTCATCCCAGACATGTTCTATCGGTGCCATGTCCGGAGACATGGCTGGCCAGTCCAAGACATTGATGTTGTTAGCAGCCAGGTAGTCCATACTAAAACGGGCGGTATGCGGACGTGCATTATCCTGTTGGAAGTGCTGAAGTTGTGGGTGCGCTCGAAACATCGGAACAACAATTGGTTGCAAGACATCATCACGGTAGGCTACAGCATTAACGCGACCCCTGCAAATGTGTAGGGCGGTCCGGTGATGAAATGTGAAGCCTCCCCACATCATTACACTTCCCCCACCCCATCGATTCGTTTCGCAGACGCAGCAGTCTGCAAGACGTTCCCCAAGACGTCTCCACACACGTTGACGGCCATCAGCGTGATAAAGATGAAAGCGACTCTCATCGCTGAAGAGCACACTTTGCCAGTCGACTCTTCTCCATGTCTGGTGTCCTTGAGCCCATATCAAACGCCGCTGACGGTGATGATCCCTGAGGATAGCTCCAACATAAGGTAGTCGTGCACGGAGTCCTACTTCTCTTCGACGACGTCTTACGGTGTTGGCACTTACTGGTCCTTGTCTTCCGACGACTGCTGCACCTGTTTGAGTCGCTGGGCGGAATCTGTCACGCAGATGAGTGACCCGGGTGTAGTGGTCTTGAGCCTGGGTTGTAATGCGTAGTGGGCCAGGACGTTGACGGTCACGTGTTGATCCAGTAACTCGAACACGTTCCACCAACCTTACAATAGTGGACGGATGACAATTGAAGTGTCTGGCAATAGCACGTGTAGACATGCCAGCCCTGGACATTCCCATGGCTTCATTCCGTTGATTTTCAGTAAGTCTCGGCATCTCTAGCTCGATTCCTTCACACGTCCAACAACAAATTACGACAGATTGACGTTTCACAGTTCATGTACTGCACATTAAGTTGAAAACATGCTTTTAAAGGGCTCACACACAATGCTGCACGTGAATATTGGGTTTTTCATGTGCATCTCGTGCAATTTTTTTTTTTGTGCACACGGGCCGATATTTTTTGCGTTTGGGAGCATTGTGTGAAACAATAGTTCATAGTATTGCTTAATATTATACATACAAAACCATCTAGTACTAGTAATAAAATATTTGGGAAAAAAAGTGATGCGTTTTCCATGGCGCTCAGTATATTTGTCATCTGTTTTTTGTTGGGGGGGGGGGGGGGTGTCCGCGGGGGACACTAGTCTCAGTGTTGGCTTGTTTCATCTGGTACGGCATGGAATTTTTGTAAGTCTTCAATTTTTTGATAGAACTTATGGACACTACTCGTTGATACCTATATCTGATTAAACCCTTGCTGGTTCCATTCCAATATTTTTTTATTTCTATTAGATAGGGGAATGGCAGACATTACTGGTACAGATAACCAGACGCTTGGTTGTTCTGAGACTGGATGATAAAAAACGACTAACAACAAGATTGGTAACTTTGAGAAGTATAGAATTAAATTTTGACGCTACCATGATCGTTGGTTCTAGAAAGGATGTGACAGATGGTAAGTATAGTATATTTTGTTTGAGTTCAGCTTCCATTGACCTTGGCCTGAAATATTAAACTATTATTGTTACGAGGGAGATCGACCAATTCGATTTCCATTACAAAAGTAAAACAAAAATTATTTAGTATTAAAAACATTTAGGTAGGCAATCCTGTTTCTTATATCTCTACCACCAATATTGGATGAAATTGACCATAGCTGAATTCCAGTTATAGGCCAATCACGTATGCGTTACTGTAAATAGTTAACTGTTTCTACAATCTGATTAAAATACTACAGATCTAGATTTCGTTTCGTTTTTTATACTTCCGATGGCCTACACTACATGAATATCTGGCTGGTTGTTCTGGAAGGTCGCATCAGGGTCGTGCCAGCGGCTTTTGACCCTATGATGTTAGACATTGATTAATCAATCAGCGTGACGTTTCTAGTGGTTTACCCACAGTTCCTTTCATCAAACTCCAAGAACCCGCCGTAACAGACCGTTTCATTGGCTAATCCCTCACTTTAACCAGAACGCCGGTAGTAAAGACAAAACGAAAGTTTGAACTATAAAAAACGAAACGAAATAGGATCTGTTTTTTAATCAGATTGCTGTTTCTATGGAATTATTATACCAGTTGTCATTAATCTGGTGCCCATTTTTTCACGCCTCTTGTTCTACAGGATTTATCGGAACAATTTTAAAACTAAGAATGAATTTCAAGGACCTGAGTTTATTTCATGTTCCGGATTGGGTCGGATATGGGGCACCAGCGAAACAGCACGGCGTATCCATAGAGAAGACTGGTAGGTATTTACCAATAACCGCTATCTTTTAGAAACTTGCTTTTTATAGGGTTATGTTAGTCCATTGGCATTAGTCGTAAACTAGTCCCATGCCGAACCCTGAACGCCAACTCTTCCTCGAATTCCAAAGGGTTCTTTTACGTGCACGTCAACGTAAATACGGTACCTCAGTCTTTCGTCCCTTTAGACATGTTCCTTATCATGCCCCCTTCCTACACCACTGGCAAAGGGGTACTCTTCTAGGGCAACGCCAAGATCTCCGGGTCAGTAAGCCGGCGATATACTCACTGAGCCACCCCCCCCCCCCCCCACAGATGGTGGATTCAATTAATGAAAACCACCTTTTCACTAAAATTTCTTGTTTACAACATGTCTGTTATTTGTTTCAGATTCAGCTGAGAGCCACTCACGGTTTTTAGGAAAATATTCAGCCCAAATTCATTTTAAACACAAGGCTGTCCTTCTGATTAAATTAACGATTTACTTTATGGACACAGAAGGAGTTATATTATTTAACCAAGGCACCACGCCTGGGGCATATGTTTCATTATCACTGCATAACGCAGCTTTAAGATTTTGCTTTTGTCTTGGCGGAAAAGCCGTTTGTCAAAAGGCAATTCTTCTTCAGGTAAATGTAATTATCCGATATGTTATCTCCATTTTGATAGGCATATTTCTTTTCATCGCAAGTATTTGTGAATAATACCAATTGCAGAAATAGTTTACAAAATCTTAAACGTTCATAAAGACAAAACAGTAGGCCTGGAATTTGAGGACATGAGATCCCAAATCCAAAAATTAGGCTGGACTGTCTAATTTGATCGTTTTGTTCCGGGTTTTTCCATTTCACTCTTCGATAATTGTTAAATATGAAACTATAATATAGTCCCTCTCTATCTGCTAAATACAAATATTTAAATACAAACCGACAATAATATAGGCAGGCTAATAAAGATAATTATTTTTCAGGTAAGAAGATGGTATTATATATCGGTATTGGTCCATGAGAAACGAGGAGAATTGAGGGTTGATAAGGGAAAAGCTGTTCAGGTAACTACGGAGGGAAAACATTACAAACCTAAACAGACATTATATATAGGTGGTGGCGAGAAACAAGACTGGCAGGTTATAACTAAATTAACCCATGAAGATACGGGCTTTGACGGCGTTATCAGTGAAGTGTTTGTTAATGGTAAACTACTGTCTTTCAAGAATGCAGTACTGGTTGATAGAGACGGGGGTGTTAATAGTGATGGATACAGTGTCTCTGGTACTAATCTGTTTTTATTTTATAAAATGATACAGGCAAACTTTCATACTGATACTAACATACTTTTATTCGTCCCTTTACTATCAAAGGCTTTACATTCAGTGGAGAAAGATATTGTCGTCACTCTTGTCCACCCGTCGGCCCAGAATTTGGCATGTCAATTATAGGCACATATATTGGGCTTCACAGTAAAAGTGCGTTACGGTAGCTTTCGAACATACTAAAGTAAACATTTTTTTTTCCTTTTTCAAGATACAGACAACTGATACATTCTAAAATACAACATTCTAAAATATTATGAGGGTTCATCTGCCATGGGCCCCCTCGTGAATATAATGTGTTTTAATAGTCACTGGTTGGTTTTATTCGTGACTCGTCACACTGTCCTTCGGTCCGCCTTCCGTTAACAATTGGCCTGTGAACGCGATTAAGGCTGCAGTTCTTGGCGAATCGATATTCAGCGTTCAACGCCGTTCCATATCAGAGTTATGTCCCCTTTCCTAAAACACTGTGAACACGATAGAAGCTATGTTTTCTAAATGGAATTCTTTAAAATTCTGTAGGAAGCATCACCCGACTTTCCGTTTCGGGGTTACCCCCTCCTCCCTTGCCTTATACATTGTGACCGATTCTTTTCAATGTTGATGTGGGTTCATTAGAGGGCGAACCATATCGATATTCAACGTTCTGTGATCTTCCATTCCCGAGAGCTCGCCCCACCCAGTGGGGACCCACCCCCTCCCCCTTTCACAAAATCCCTTGAACGTGATAGAAGCAACAATTTGTCAGCTTGTGAATAAGATAGAGATACTATTTCTGGAAGGATCATCCGTATTAAAGTTGTCCCCTTATACGAAGTTATGTCCCCTTATGCGAAAACACCCGCATCGCGTGCTTACTCTTTTGTCCACATTATATAAATGAATGTACCCATTTGAACAGTAGGCTTATTGGGGGGGGGGGGGAAACTTTTTATATTATATACCATGATGATATTATTTGCAGCTCATGTAAGTGAAGTATATGAGGTACCATCTAGTAAAGTAACAATGAGGTGTGATGCTAGCGCTTTTGCTAAACAAGGTGGTTTAGTTAAAGTTGATTGGATAGAATCGGATAAATATATTGCAGCTGGTGATGGTGAAGAAATCATACCACAGGTAATCAGATATGTATTCCATTCAATATTATTTTTGGAATTGTCATTTGGGATAATTAGAAAATTACGCTTAGTCGTTTGGCGCAATAAAAGGAAGTTTAATTTTTAAAAGTATTGTTATAAATCGCTATTAATATTGTAATATTTAAAAACACAATGTTTGCGATTGTGGAAAACAATAACTGGTTGTTACACATATAGCATGACGTTTCGATGAGTGTTCCCTTGTCGTTTTTATTAGTATTTTTTTTTAAAACGCCTGTAGAAATGTCGTACTATACCTATACAACCAGTGATTGTATTCCACATATTATTGTGTTGTTTTGAAACTGTGACTCAAGGATTATATTGGAATATTTGTTTTTAGGTTCCTGGAAATCCACACGAAAGTGCTTTACTGTTGAAACCGAATAGTCACAACGAAGGAATCTACGCCTGTATTATAAACCATGATGGGTTTAGAATAATAACCCATACGTTCCCTGTTCTACGTCATGCTATATCACTAAGTAAATTTATTTGGTTTCTCATTTTTAATTTTTACAAATGATTCGATCTCGGGGGCGGATCCAGAGGGGGGGGGGGGTCCAAACCCCACCCTGCTCAGCTACATAAAATAAAATGAATGCCTTGCATCAATGAAATTAAATCACAATGTGATCCTACATCATTACAAAAATGATTTCTCTCTTTAAAAAGCTCAATTTGTATGTATGCCTTTGTAATTTAGAGACGATGATGACGGATTTCTTTAACAGGAACCTGGCAAACCCCCTCCTGCAAAAATTCCTGGATCCGCCCCAGGATCTACCTCTTAATACATGAAGGCAAAGACTATTGTTATGTATACCAAAGACTACTATTTACTTCTGATAATACATTTTATATTTACGTACTCTTGTGTATGTGTAACTTGTGTATATATTTTTTAGAGAGGTACATAGACGCAAAGGGCGCATTGACAATGCGTGCTTTAATGATTGTTGGTCCACTGTTGTTATTAACATGCTGTGTATTGTGCTGTACACTCTGTTGTAAATGTTGTAAAGGAAAGAAGAAAACAAGGTTCGTTTTAAGTTTAGATTCAATATATTCATATGGGCGTGACTGTCCCTGGTCACGATTTCAAAGATCGAATTAAGAGAGATTCGTAGCCCTTTCTTCCCGGTACAAATTTCACATAAATAAAGCATTGATAGACAGACAGTACTCAAAATATTATTATTGTCACATACTCCCATTCCGCGTCGTCAGCCCATTTTTCTTCTAAACATTCAATTGCGGGAATTGAAGCAATAAACGAAATTTACCTTTTAAAATGTTCGTGTGCGGGATAGCGTTAGAGGTGTCAATTGAATGACATTTGGTTAAATTCAGCATATTTTTTTCTTGAAAGTTTTTTTATGGCCATGCAAAATATTGCCATTTTTTAAAAAATAATCTGGTTCTGTTGTTTTTATTAGTGCCATTTCTATGACACCTGTGGTTCCACCGAGAGAAACAGGCGAAGACACAGTTAAATTATTGGACAAGTTAGAATCCGGTCCTTCTGAACATATTTATACTGACCTAGATTATTACAACACTGGGATGAAAGAAGATGACGGGATGAAAGAAGATGACGGTCTGAATCCAGCTTTTGAAGGAAACGATGATGACACCTATGAGACACCAATAGATGGCGAAATGTCAGCAAGAACCGACCATACAGGAGATTCGGAGAGCGACTCGAAGGTTTGCACTTAATTTCGTTGATGTTTCCAGGGTAATATTCAACTATACAAATCACTTTATACTAATGGTTAATAAAGCAGTTGGAAAGTTTTTAGGTTAACGTCAAAGAAAATTCTGAAGAAGAAATGAAATGGGGTTTAATGTCGTACTTTACTGTACCAACCAGGCTTATGAAGAGGACATACCTGTGCTATGAGGGCTTTGGCACAATGTATGGCTCACTAGCCTGGAGGTCGCGTGTTCGATCCCTGCATTGGCCGAGAAACTTCATCGGGATTTTCCAACGTGGTTTCCCCTTGTCAGTGGTGCGGGGCGGAGGGCCTGATAAGGACAGCTATCCAGTCATTCGGATGGGACGAAAAACCGAGGTCCCGTGTACACATAGGCGTGCACGTAAAAGATCCCTTGGCATTTGGAATTCGATATAAGAGTAGGCCTTAGTGATTCAGCCCAGGCAAAATTTCCTTCATAGCACACTGTATGGCGTATGCCTGTCTTCATTAGTCCAGTCGTTGTAGAACAGTAGGGCGTTAAACCCCATATCATCTCATTTCAATTGAAGCTGACGTGCCATAAAATCCTATTTCATTTATTGCTATGAGGGAAGTTCTACCAGGACAGCCGCGATTCTACTTACCCTTCAACTGTTGTAACGGTCTATTTTACGTAGACGGGACCGGGCCTCGGTACGTAACAGTTTCCTGGATAGTTGGAATTCTATGAAGAGTAGGCAATAATCAAGGAGATTACGATCCAATACTTGCCAAAATCAAACTCTAGATATAAACATGGGCGACTACATAATACGTCCACGTGAAAATATTGTCGTATAAAATTGTTTTATGATAGCTATTGTGCGAAATAATCAAATAACTTATTATTCTCAACCTGTTGGATTTTGTTTTTTTCAGGACGAAGAGCAAGAAGAAAAGGGTAAGCCGATATAGTTTTCAAACTGTAGACCCAAATAATGTAATACGGGAATATGTTGCGTATATAAGGAAAGGCACCACTTTGTTTCTAAATGTAATGTAATTACTATATGTAATATAGCAATTTAACTTTTTGCCAATTAGTAATTGCATTTATGGTGTTTTCATGAAAACCAATTTGACAGTTTTTGGTGTAAAATTATTATTCCAGAGCATATCCAAGAAATCGTTCAGGATAAAACTTTGTACACACATCAACCTATAGAAGTAGTTGCGCATTTATTTTAGCAAATAAAGTATTGGCTGAATATTATAAATTCGAAACACATTTGACTTAATTTTGGTATACCATTGTTATTCAGGGACATATCTCAGAAACCGTTCAACTTATACACATCAATGTACTACAATTACAATAGTTGTACCCTTTTCTTGTTACTGAATTTCTGGCCAAATGGCTCTTTTGTAATTCACTGGAAAAAAAACTTAGAGTTTGGTACACAATTTCTATCCAGAAGAAAGTCTTGTATGTACGACTTAGATGCTGGTGGGTATATGTTTTGTTGCCTGGCAACATATGCTTTATTTCATAACATTAAATTATGTACTTATTTTACAGATGAGATTTTAGAGAAAGCTAGTAGAGTTTTAGAGCTGATTGGATCTATTGATAACCTAAAGAAGTGAGTAACCACTTTACAGACATGCAGACAGATACATACATATATATACATACGTTCTTTCTGCCCATCCGAACGACTATACACTGTTCCTTGCCAGGACTGCCGCCCTACCCCACTGACAAGAGGAAACCACAAGAGACCGAACCCTAGACCTCCTGGTTCAATAAGTTGTCGACGACGTCTGTAAGTTAGTGATCAGAGTTGTCGGTTACTTATTATGTAATCGTCAAAAAATAATAGTAAGAAAGTGCTGCATATTCTCACACCAACCCACCGCATAATAAAACACACAGAAAAGCCATCACCGTGATATATGCTTTCTTTATTCAATTCTCGACTTCTTATAATTTTAGGGTGTGTTCAAGACTATCACAAGAAAGAATCCGTTCCTCGGGAGTGGATATAAATAAGTCTCAAGGGTAAGTGCAGTAAGTTTATTAGTGACTACTAGTATCGCTTGCTATAGAATCATTGTGAGCAGCCATCTTTGCATAGGTATACAATTCCATCCTCTTAAACAAGAAATATGTTGTCGGTTACTTATTATGTAATCATCAAAAAAGTGCTGCATATCCTCACACCAACCCACCGCATAATAAAACACACAAAAAAGCCATCACCGTGATACATTCTTTCTTTATTCAATTCTCGACTTCTTATATTGTTTTTTTTTTAATTTTAGGGAGTTTTCAAGACTATCACAAGAAAGAATCCGTTCCCCGGGAGTGGATATAAATAAGTCTCAAGGGTAAGTGCAGCCATCTTTGCATAGGTATACAATTCCATCCTCTTAAACAAGAAATATGTTGCATCTACGGTGGCCTGTTAGTGCCATACACCGATTTATACATTTTTCTTAAAATTTACCTCATATGAGAAATCGCAGTGAAAACTGTGATAAATAAAAAAAACCATGAAAAACCTTTCCACCGCGGTGTAAATATTTTCTCCGCGTTGTAAACATTTTCTCCGTGGTGTAAATATTTTCTCCGCGGTGGAAACATTTTCTCCGCGGTGTAAATATTTTCTCCGCGGTGTAAATATTTTCTCCGCGGTGGAAAGGTTTTTCATGGTTTTTTTTATTTATCACAGTTTTCATTGCGATTTCTCATATGAGGTAAATTTCAAGAAAAATGTATAAATCAGTGTATGGCACTAACAGGCCACCGTATGTATCGTACAGAATAATCTGCTTATAACCAGACTTGTAATCTTGTTCATGAAACGTTATACACATGTTTAAGTGACTCTCTCTCTCTCTCTCTCTCTCTCTCTCTCCAATTTAATGTATTCATCACGATATTTATGACATTAGATGCTCTTATTTTTGATCAGGGAGCTCGCTGAAATCGATGAGGTGGATGAAGCAGAGGCCGGATCTAACAGCCCAACCATCAATTTTGCCGATGTTCCACCGCCCCGATTGTCACAGTCATTTGAAAGCCAATAAAGCTGTTTAATAAAAGTAAAAGATAATTATTATTAATCATGGATTGCAGCTTTATGGCAAAAGTTGAAATTCCACCATCTGTATCAAAATTTTCTTCACATATTTTGTAAAGTTGTCCTTTTATTCGAGCTTTTTACCCTTTCATAAATGAAATGAAATGATTGTTTAGCGTTCTACATTTTCACCTACTCTTGATACGTTTACGTACACCTGGAAACCAGACTGTCGCCAAAACGGGAATCTAACTGGAGCCTTACCCACTGAGCTACGGTGGCTCCGATATTCACAAACAATCTGATTTTTATAATGAAATGTTATTCAATTCTCTATCCGTTTTCTTTCGTCTTATGTTCCGGATTTTATAATTTACTTGAATCAATAACATTAGATAGAATAAAGATTTAATTTTAATTAGATTGTTTCAGAAAACACGGTTGTCAATTATTAATTTTAAATTAGTAAATGCGGTAGAATTGTATTAGAAAGCACGTATTTATCTAACAAATCTAGTGACAGGCTACAAAGAGATAGGTCGTAAAGTTTTACATGACTGCAAGTCAAATTCTTAACCCATTAAGATGTTCAATTGAACATAATTGGATCATCTGCTAGAACGTCTAAACTTATTATATATAAAAGTTTATCGTGGACTGAACTGGGAATTTGACACAATCAACTTAGCCCACAATAAATTAAACAATTTAATTACTGTATAACAGCAACAACCCACGAAAGCGATAAAAAAAACGCCGCATGAAGGGGATACAAGCTTGTGGCATCCAGTAGCCCTATAGTAGCCTAGTAAAGCCCTCTTGAATTACGCGTTCTCGAAGGGCGGGTGTCAACCTTGGCATGTCGTTTGTCTTCCACAGAACAGTGAGTGAGAGATGTATACTAAACAGCCATATTGTATACCCCATCTTCTGCACCATAATTTCAACATTTCCATTCTGTCGTATTCAATATTTACTTGATCGAGAAAATACCAGTCCTTTCTCACCTGTTATCGTATTGTTACATTCCAGATTAAAGTGTATCTCAAGCAAGGTTTAAAATCATCCATTTATAAAATTGGTGCGTTTCCATTGCATCTCAGTACATTCCCGGGTAATGTTGTTGCTCCTCCATTAAATTTATTTTCTTGCTAGTGTACACAATAATGGTGTCTACAATTTGATGAAAATTGCTGGACTGAAACTTAAACTTCAGTCTGTGTTCGATCATTCCCTAAAGTTTCAGTTATCTTAGTGGCTTTGCATAAAAGTCATGTTTTTTCCAAAATGGCCTCCGCGGCGTTGGAGGCAAACTTGCATACGTCGCGCAAAATTGTCAATTACTCGAATATATTCCTCCTTAGGGATTTCCCTGATTATTTCCAGGACAATGTGTACCAGAATAGCTTTCAAACGATTGGTTATTTGAAGGCAGCAATCACAGTAAAAATCTGTTTGGGATTTAGATCCTTTAATATTCAGGTTTTAATATTCCTTAAAAATACATTATGCAAGAGCTAAATCTGCCTATTTCAGGTCTTTCTTTAGGCCTGAAATGTTTTCTAAATTATTAATTAGACATTAATTAACCTATCCAGGCCATAATCAACTCTCGATGACATCGGATTTCTCCGATATTAAATAGATTAGAACAGTTCAGCCATATTTTGATTTAAGCTAAAATGGAGGAGCGAGACTTAGCTTCGAGCAACCAGTACGGTTGTTGAAATTATTGCACACGTCTTGTCAAATCCTCACAGGCTAATATCATCGCTCGCAATAGAGTAATTTACATGAAATTTTCAAATTATTATTTTACATTATCTATTTTCGAACTATTATAGTACGAACGGTTAGCTCTTTATTTTAATCTTACATAATGTATCTTTAAGTAAAATGATATCCGAACACCCATTTAGACACACTGATCCGCAGTGAATATTCGCTTGGCCGCTACAATCACTGATAAGGATGACATCGATGCGACTTAATGACTACAAAATATTAACTTTTTTCTTTCGACAAATTAAATTCTGAAACATTTTTTTTTAGTATTAGAAAAATAAATAAAGGTGTTTGAAGTATATCTTGATAAAAAATATTCCATATTTAGCGTAAATAGGTACAGAAAATAGTACCAGTACCAGTTCATATTACTACGTTCGATGTAAACAACGCACGTGTGACAATCAATTTGACGTTTTTCCTGTTTGTTTACTCTGAATTCTTTCAGAAGTACATTTTTTACTGCCTAATCTGATTGACATGCTCGTGTTTGTTTTAAAACGAACCAAAACAAGCCACAGAAGTAATCTTTTTTGGCGTTATCGATGCCATCTTGCTTTGTTGGTAAACATTGTGATGTGACGTCACCCTTAGAACTACAGCGGTCTGACCTTTTAAAGGCCAGTGATCTTGGACAGAGATAAAAGACGGATGTCGAATTAGGTCTGTAAAACAGATTGCCATTTAGAGAGACACGAAACATTATAACGTTTAATCATTTGTATTCATTTATTCATATTATTATTATTATTACAGCATATTAATAGTGCGCCCTTTCATATAACGTGTTCAGTGGCACTTTACAAAGTGACAATGTAATCATATAAAATACCCCTCCCCCTCCATCCCCCCAAAAAAAGAAAAGAAAAAGACCCCCCCCCCCCCCAAAAAAAAAACACCCCAAAAAACAGCAAGATTATGGACATGTTAATAGTTCAATACGCAGTCAGTTAAAAGCCTGTTTAAATATTTAAATAAATGTGTTTTAAGTTGGTTTTTTAAAAGAATATAGAGATGTATAACATCTTAAACTAAATGGTAGATTATTTCATTAAACAGGCGCTTGAAAACTAAAAGAGCGCTAACCATAAGAAACTAGTTGAACAGTTTTGAGCTCTAAAAGTAGTTTATCTGAATATTAAAAAACCCCAATAAATAAACAATTTTACAGGACCATTTTCAAACTCGATTTTCTCGAAAAGTGAAAAAGGTCACTTACGACCTTTTCCCTCTCAGGGGACGTGGAGCTAAATTATTTAAACATAATATCTTCGCTTTATACATCATTGAGTGAATATATATATACAGAGATCATGATGTTATCTATAATGTATTGGTAAATACTGAAAGTATCTAAAAATCAATAAACAGTGTTCTAGGAGGATTTAATCGTCCGTAGTTGCAATTACAGTATTTGATTTTACTAATCCTTGGATCATGATGTCCACATACTTCCCCTTTAAATGTACATAATTAATTGCTCCCTGTCCAGGTGAGAGGGCATCGTCTTTTGAATAAATCTGTATAAGCACTATCCAATTACCGGCTGTGGCATTATGGTTTAATTATTATTACACATATGAAAATAGAGAAACGCATCTAATTTATGGTTCGTTCAGTCGTCGTAGCATAACAGGAAAATCATTATAACCAATTTAAATTCATATTTTATTTTAGTAATAGTCCTGGCTCTGGGGGGTTCCTGTATACATTTTTCTTTTACAGCGAAACTTTGGATTTTCTTGTTTTGTATATTGAGACCCTTGCAAAAAATTGTTCATTTTTTTCTGCACAGCCAAATTAATGATAATGACTTGGCGCCAATCGGCCAAAATAGAAAAATTCAGTTTTCTTGGAATAATTCAAGAGTTTGCAGCATTTGATTCAAATGAAACATTTAGTTCTGATGTTTAGACATTACTAACCTGTTTTAAAAATAGTTCAACGCCATATACTAACATAGCCAAATTTTCCTGAAAATCACTTACAGTTTGAAAGAAACACAAAATCCGACCACCTTTCATACACACAATTTTGTAGATAAGGCAACCTAAATTGGATAAGTAGATAAGGATAAGTTACCCCCCCCCCCTCCGAAAAAAAAGAAAAATAAATAAATAAAAAAGTAAAGTATTAAGTGTGATATGAAGTTTGTTTTGGTGTCTATGCATGGGATTCTGATAGCCAGCTACTCAGTGGGACCATATTCAACCCCCTTTTAATATACCTAATTTACATAATTTCAAAATGGCCAGTAAAATGTCTAGATTAATACATCCGTCAAGAAGTATTGTATTACATGTATGTCTAGTGGAGTTTTTTGTATGGATGTTTGGTTTTTCAGTCATGACATATCACTGCTTTGTCATCGTATTGTCCGCTTTTACCTATCTAAATTGGTTAATTAACATAAATTCAAGATGGCAGCCCCAAGAGCAGTGAAATTTACAAGGAATGATAAGTCGCAATTTACAATTGAGGCCACAACAATGTTGCTTTCTTCGTTTATCTCGAACATTCCACCTTGTCAAACCAGTGACTGGTTCCCTAGTCGTAAACAAATTTTAATGAAGGCTGTGCCCAGAAAATCTGTCGTTCATATTCAGGGTTAATAACAATCTAGACTTGACAGATACCTGGAGAATACTCAGGCGGAGCTAACTATAGACAGGCAGCCAAAGTTTGGGATGTCTATCCACTGACTTCTACTTGTGTAGTGTTTATCGTATATGGTAATTACTATATTTTTTTAACAGAAATCACAAAACCACAATAAACCCGCAATGTTTTAAACATAAAATATACAGAAACTGGCCCATAAAATCAAGTTTAGCCACCACATAATTGTCTCCTAGTTTTCTTTACTTGCAAATTATCTTTTTGTATGCCTTTCGAAAGTCCTTATTCTGCCATCCATACACTAGAAAATTTAAACTTGTATTTAAAAGTCCAACACAAACGGATATGTGAATAAACCACTGCGGTAATGGCATTTCGTCGGATCTAAACAAACTAAGGACCGAACAAAGTGCCGATGGCAACCAACAAATTAAAAACATAGAAAATACAATAAAATAAAGTTTGACAGATTTTCGTGAATTATTTATAGTCAGTGAACTTTCACCCAAATTTATCACTTGAATACTTCTTCTTTGCTTTATTGTAACACACATTATGTAACCATAGCAATTTAAAGTAGTTACGGTTACGAGGAAAAACACTATTATTATTGCTAACCTTTGGCCTTTAGTAAGGACCAAGTAAGACGAACAGATTGTAGTTTCTGACCAATTGTTTTCAAAAAACAATACCACATTAATTGAGAGGCTCAGTACCCAAGTTGCACATATGACTAGAATTGCTTTCCTTTTCGTCATCCAGAGGTGATATTTGAATGGAAATTTGACGTTAGCGCATCTATCGATTGACACTATCGTCATCATCAATACAGATTCAGTTGTTAAAGCAAATGTCCACACATAGAATAATATACAAAGGTTCTCACTGTCGAACACAGGTCGTGAATATGGTATATGAAATAAAACAAATCCTAAACAAGAAAAGAACGAAAGTAGATCAGTAACAGTTAGACATGTTACATACATATTTGGTATTGTTCGTAACACGCTCGTTTTGTATATAGCTATTAAAGTTAGAGTATTTCCAAATAATATTGTTATGGCCACAACTATGAGTACTATTATAAATATTATTTGCCACGCATATATTTCCATGCTACAATACAGGAAAAACTTTCGTCAGAATACCCGAGGAGAAATAATAGCATACACTCTTATCCTAAGCTTGTCATAATGTGTTTTGAGAAACAGCAATAAGCCAGTTTCCCAACTACCGTACATCTAATAACATAGTATCCATTAGAAGGACAGTAAACACATCTGTATGGACGACAATTATGACGACAAATATACTGGAAAAAATCAATTTGTCTAATGTGCCATTAATTATATGAACTATTGAAATTCGCGACCAATAAAACCCTAAAAAGTTAAAACGTAATAGATTAAATGAAATGAAATGGGGTTTAACGTCCTACTTTTCTGCACCGACAGAGCTAATGCAGACGGGTATGCGCCATACAGTGTGCTATGAGGGAAATTGTGCCCCAACGGCGGCACTACGGCCCACTTTTATTTTAATTTCAAACTGTTATGGGCCAAGGGTTCTTTTATTTCATTATAATGAGAAATGTAATGTCTTAACATTATCTAAAATACAGATGTGACGTCATCCTTTGATGTTGGCGTACCTTTATTTCATATAATGGTAGTCCGGGAGCTAGGTGGGTTTTGTTCAACATGGAAGGTGCGGAAGATTTGGCATGCTAGTGGTGTATGGCAGGGTTAGGAGACCCCAGAAACCCAATTCTTAAGTTGCGCCAGTGGTGGGTGTGGTAGGAGGAGCCACCCATAGTACCCCCCAAAATGGGTTTATTCAACATGGAAGGTGCAAGTTCCACTTCAGTGGCATTTGATAGAGGAATGTGCCCTGAATTAGGAAATATAACTTAAGAATGGGATTTTTGGTGGAAGGGCCACTTAAGAAGAGATCAAAGGTCACTAATTAGCAATTTTTCGATTTTACTGAAAACGATTTTTCCATTATCTCGTGATCTATTCCAAGTATATCGCACAAAACTACATGGACATTTTTGATAGTGCTAGGAGCAAAATATGAGACATAAAATAAATGAAGTTTTAGCTAAAAGTATGACATAATCTCAAAAATAACGAAAATATCACTCGAACCCCATCGGTAATTAAAATGTTAATCAACATGAAAGGTGCGAGTGAGAAACCAAGCCTAAATTGTACGGAATGATATCAGAAATTATTATCATCAACTTAAGAATGAAATTTCTGGTGGTCAGTGTACTTAAGAAGAGAATAATGCTGGTCTGCACCGAATGACCCCTAATTAGAAATTTAATTAACGTGAAAGGTGCGACATCGGAACAAGGTGTAAAATGTAGGGACTGATCATAGGATTCACAACCATTAACTTAAGAATGAATATTTAGGTGGTAAATGAACTTAAGAACAGCAGATGCGACCAATAACCTTAAAAAATCAGTGACAAGCGGTGGAATATGCCCACAATGCTATGTTTCCTCTTGATCTCTGATAGTAACACTGATACATTAATTACCGCCCACTTCCTTCATACTAAGAGTCATTTAAAACATAGATCTATATGTCATGTTAAGACAACTGTCTTCATCAGATGGTAGTATGATTCCTCCCTGCGAATCAAAAGTGTCACTACAGATGACAAGGGCATCTTTGTCGCAATGATGTCGGGAAGCGCTGATAAATCAGGAATTACCCAGCACCCATCGCCAGAAGATAGTTGAGAGAAGGACAGAATGAATTCATGCCCTTTAATGGTCCTGAACTCCGAGAGTCATTGGTTGAAGAGGACATTGAGCAATCTGATCAGGATACCTCTGATGACGACTTTGACACTGCTGCCTCTGATGAAGACAGTTGCCTTAACATGACATATAGATCTATGTTTTAAATGACTTGTGAAGACGACGTATAAATAAAATTTTTGGACACAAATGTCTAGATAGTTCCATTGTTCGTTGTTTTGCACTAACAGATTAATTCTGGTTAATATATGTAGAATTTCCCCAAAAAGGGGGAGGGTGGCTCCTCAATGTCTTCCTCAACCAATGACTCCCATAGTTCAGGACCTTTAAACCATACTGTCTTTCCTTAAACTCCCAACCATCTTCTGGCGATGGGTGCTGGTTAATTCCTGATTTATCAGCGTTTCCCTATATCTTTGCGACCAAAAATGCCCTTGTCATCTGTAGTGACACTTTTGATTCGCAATGTCTTCCTCAACCAATGACTCCCATAGTTCAGGACCATTAAACCATACTGTCTTTCCTTAAACTCCCAACCATCTTCTGGTGATGGGTGCTGGTTAATTCCTGATTTATCAGCGTTTCCCTATATCTTTGCGACCAAAAATGCCCTTGTCATCTGTAGTGACACTTTTGATTCGCAGGGAGGAATCATACTATCATTGATGCCCTTTTCAGTTTCTCCAGAAGAGTTTTACATCTTGCCTAAGACCCATTACGTCTTCTCAAACACGGTGTAGCGATGCCTGTTGAGTGAGGAGATTGCTTGTCGCTTAGCCCCATACATCTGCACGGTGAATGATATCGCTACATCGTGTTTGAGAAGACGCAATGGGCCAAAGGCAAAATGTAAAAATCTTCTGGGGAAACTAAAGGGCATCGATGATAGCAGGAGTCCTCCTTGCGAATCAGAAGTGTCACTACAAATCAAAAGGGGCATCTTTTGTCGCAAAAATGTCGGGAAGCGCTGATAAATCAGGAATTACCCAGCACCCATCGCCAGAAGATAGTTGAGAGAAGGACAGAATGAAATCATGCGTTTTAATGATCCTGAACTCCGGGAGTCACTGGTTGAAGAGGACATTGAGCAATCTGATCAGGATACCTCTGATGATGACTTTGACACTGCTGCCTTAACATGACATATAGATCTATGTTTTAAATGACTCTTAGTATGAAGGAAGTGGGCGGTAATTAATGTATCAGTGTTACTATCAGAGATCAAGAGGAAACATAGCATTGTGGGCATATTCCACCGCTTGTCACTGATTTTTTTAAAGGTTATTGGTCACATCTGCTGTTCTTAAGTTCATTTACCACCTAAATATTCATTCTTAAGTTAGTGGTTGTGAATCCTATGATCAGTCCCTACATTTTACACCTTGTTCCAATGTCGCACCTTTCATGTTAATTAAATTTCTAATTAGGGGTCATTCGGTGCAGACCAGCATTATTCTCTTCTTAAGTACACTGACCACCAGAAATTTCATTCTTAAGTTGATGATAATGATTTCTGATATCATTCCGTACAATTTAGGCTTGGTTTCTCACTCGCACCTTTCATGTTGATTAACATTTTAATTACCGATGGGGTTCGAGTGATATTTTCGTTATTTTTGAGATTATGTCATACTTTTAGCTAAAACTTCATTTATTTTATGTCTCATATTTTTGCTCCTAGCACTATCAAAAATGTCCATGTAGTTTTGTGCAATATACTTGGAATAGATCACGAGATAATGGAAAAATCATTTTCAGTAAAATCGAAAAATTGCTAATTAGTGACCTTTGACCTCTTCTTAAGTGGCCTTTCCACCAAAAATCCCATTCTTAAGTTATATTTCCTAATTCAGGGCACATTCCTCTATCAAATGCCATTGAAGTGGAATTTGCACCTTCCATGTTGAATAAACCCATTTTGGGGGGTACTATCGGTGGCTCCTCCTGCCACACCCACCACTGGCGCAACTTAAGAATTGGGTTTCTGGGGTTTCCTAACACAGTCATACACCACTAACATGCCAAACCTTCCGCACCTTCCATGTTGAACAAAACCCACCTAGCTCCCGGACAATGTGCAAAACGTATATTATTTATACTAGTTGAAATATTAGACCCGCGTGACGTATTTCATTGAAATGCACGTGCTGGATAATGTCTGTATTTTAAGCTGTTTAATGGTCTCGTGCAAGACATTGCGTAATATATAGATATAGCCCTCGTACTAACGCACTCGCGGGCAATATCAATATATTACTTAATCACACTCACCATTAAACTCTTAATATACAATCCATTATTAATCAAAACGTCTATCAAAACAGTGCATTACTTTTAGAAACTGCCCGTTACTGCACGAGGCCGCCATGTTGACAGTGTTGTATTTATATACACTGTATTACACAATCATTAACTTGTTCGAGACCTTTTAATGGTGCTCGGGCCAAGTAATCGAAAGCGATATAAACAGCTTAAAATGCAGATTCTATAGCGCATATGAATTCAATGAAATCATCATGTAGTATAAATGCTGTACGATTTGCATGGTATCTAAGATTAGATCACTATCAGATAACTGACAGGGTATTTTCATATTAAATGCAGAATAGGACGTTAAACCCCATTTCATTTTATATTAAGTTCCATGGCTTTTCTTAAATCCAAACTATGTGTGACACTATCCTGTGTCGCGGTACCAAAAGATAGGTTGCCAGGCAACGAAACAAACGCCCACAGCAGATTATAATTTTGTCCGTTAAGGGTTCACAAGGTTCTACAAACTGTAACAAGGGCCTCAACTCTGGAAGTAGTCTACAGAAATTGTTTTGGCAGGCTTTTTCGTTTTACTAATTTAAATAATGTATATTAATTTCATACAGATCGGATGATCACTTTTGTCATTCAAACGTTCACAAGGTTCACAAAGTAAAACAAGGGCCATAACTCTAGAAATTATTGACGGAAATTGCTGAAATTCAATAGACCTCTGTTTCACAAATTTAAATGATGCATATAAATTTCATACATATCGGATGATAACTTTCATCAATCGAGCATTAACAAGGTTGAACAAAGTGAAACAAGGGCCATAACTCTAGAAGTAATTATTGTAAATTGCTGAAATTCAATAGGCTTCGTGGTTTCACTAATTTCAATAATGCATATAAATTTCACAAAGATCGGATGATAACTTTCGGCTTTAGAACGTTCACAAAGTTAAATAAAGTGAAACGACCCATAATTCTAGACGTAATAAACGGAAATTGCTGAAATTCAATAGGATTGTTCTTTTTACTAACTTAAATGGCACATGTAAATTTCATACAGATCGGCAGATACCTTTAGAGGTTAGAGCGTTCACAAAGTGCAACAAAGTGAAACAAGGGCCATAACTCTAAAAGTAATAAACGAAAATTACTGAAACTCAATAGGATTCTTCTCTTTACTAATTTAAATGACGCGTGTAAATTTCATA